AAATGAACTTGGTTTTATGTGGATCTGGTGTTCAAAGGATATGTTGGGCTAATAATGTTCTAAGAAAAAAAAAAATTACAAGATCTTGGAGTTATTTGAGAAATTTCTTTAGACATAGAACATGTGAAGAGAGAATGTGTTTTTACAATTACAACTGATCCAAAAAATGTGTTCGGTGTTTTATAAAAATTTAAAGTCAACTAGGATTTGCTGTACAATAAGTTGTGAATAGCTTAAGCTTAATCTTATAATAGATTTGTTTTTAATATATATACACACACACTTGGCTTGTGCCATAGATGGCTTATGCTTAACTTCATTCTAATTCAGCTTTTGTAGAATGTCTTTATTTATTTTCTCAACTTTTTCTTTTTGGGTCTTTTAATGCTTGCCTTCTCGAAAATACCGATTTAAACATAGCATAGATTCTATTACATTACCAATACATATATACACACAAATTAATCCATATGTAATGTGTGTATTGTTGTATGTATAGGATGTAGCCAGTAGCCACCTAGGTGAACGTTCGAAGCACCCGAATGGGTGAGATGCACATGTTATGAAGGTGTATAGATGATCCCATTAACTTTTTTCTCTAGTTATTTAATTTCAGATAGGTCCAAATAATTACATTAATAAATAATACTAGCAATAATGAAAGATGATCCCACGATCGATCTCACGTTTGCTTCTTTACTCTTTTGAATTAGGTAAAAGTTTCTTTCTACTTGTAGTTAGTTAATAAAAATTATTCGAACCCACTTCATCGCCATTATATATGCAAACATTTGATTTTTTATTCAATCAAGAGTTACCATGATCAAGCATAATAAATATAAATATATATATGCAACTATAGAGACTGCAGGTTTGTTACTATTCCTTCGTTTACATGATTAAGTAGATAAGAATCTTTCCATGTTACAGGTTTTAATAAATACGTCAGTGTAAATATGTATATAATAATACATGTAATAACGGGATTTAAAAATCAAAGAAATAATAATTGGATTGATTATCAGTACTAACTTATTTTACTGTGATTTGTTGTTTATCTTCTTGCTTTCTTCTTTATAATCGTTGT